TTGCTTGTCTTCGTGCGAGTGCAGTCTGTAACGGTCTCCGCCCATCCAGCAACGATGCAATCGCCGGAATGCCGATCCCGATCAAGCTGGGGGTTCAATGAGCCTTCTCTCTCTCTCTCTCTCTCTCTCTCTCTCTCATGCGCGCGCACGCGCGCGCTCCATCCCTCTATTATTTGTTTCTGCTTTTTGTTCCGCTGCTCTGCCGGCCTTGTGCAACCGTTTTGCTCTCTGTGTTTTGGTTCAATGTTCCCCTCTTCCCTCTTTCCTGTTCTCTTTCCTCTTCTTTCAAATTTCAAGGCATGCTCACGCCCGTAGCACTTCGTAATTGTATCATCCGTTTTAAAAAATAATAGTAATAAAAATAAATAAAATAAATGTATCTTCCTCCGAAACGCTGATTTGAGTGGTTGGTGCTGAAAAATCGAATATAACGAAAGGCCCAATAGGACGTGCCCACTTTACATTCGAACATAACGTCCGTACACTGTATTTGACCATAATGTACTTTATTACATACCAATGGACTTTACTTAGCAATGAAGGGACCCTAAAGGAGACAACATGGTCTTCTTTTATGGTTTTTTATTTTGCCAAATTTGTCTTGCGCCCCTGTAATTTCCATTTCCATTATTTTGCGTCGCGCCCCTCCTACTGCTGACTTGCCAACTATGGCCTCTGAACTTTCCTGCATGCCCCTGTCAGCAAGGGGCGCAGCTTGCCGTGGTGCCCTTACTGAACGGCCAGTCCCATCCTCACCCGTCCTGCGGCTATATGCCCTCATGAGCCGCATCCATCTGTCCATCATGCCCTCACGCCGGAAATTCGGATTTGAAGCATGCTGTTTGCTCTGTCTGTGTCTGTGTGTCTGTGTGTCTGTGTGTCTGTGTGTCTGTGTGTGTGTCACTGTGTGTGTGTGTGTCTCTGTGTGGTAGTCTGTTGTCATATTCACTTTACACAACTCCATAAAAGAAGCATGACTGTGCCAAACAGACTGTTTCGTCGGACTTTCACAAACTCATCAGGAGGTTGAATATGTATGTGTGTGTGTGTGTGTGTGTGAGAGAGAGAGAGAGAGAGAGAGAGAGAGAGAGAGAGAGAGAGANGAGAGAGAGAGAGAGAGAGAGAGAGAGAGAGAGAGAGAGAGAGAGATATGAAGTGGCTGCCATGTGAGTGGCCATAAAGGAGTGCTGAAAAGATGCAGCGTACTGGTAGGGGCATATGGATTTTTTTTGCGCTGGTACTCAAGGCTATCCGGTAGGGGCATACTGCAAATTTGGAACAGGAAAATATTTCTGGCCCAGCCGACGTGGGGGTCTTATGGGAAATTTGAATCGTGGTCAGAGGGGGCGCAACAGGGTAAATCTGCCGTCAGAGGGGTGTGATGCAAAATAATGGAAATTACAGGGGTGCCAGACAAATTTTCCCTTTTCATTTTGGAGATTGTTATTTCTAGCCCATACACATATACAAACCTATAAAAAAAAAATCTTTTTTTTTTTTAAGGTGAGCCGTTTGCTTTGTAGTCTTTGGTACCTATATTTCCAATATAGCGTACTTCCGCCGTTATTTTCGGGGCGGAGGTCCCACTAGCAAAGAGGATAGGATCAAGCTCCTGAATCTGGATGTGTTTTATGCAGAGGTGCAGAAAAGCAGTTCAATCTCGATTTCCTGCACCTGTCCACAATTACATCCAGATTCAGGCATTCAATCCGATCCTCTTTGCTAGTGGGACCACGCCCCGGGGGACTATTGTAGAGTTACTTATACTTACTATGCCCTCAGTCGTTCCCGATCCTTTGTCTTTTTTTTTTTTGTCTGTTTTTATTTTATTTTATGAAATTTCAAAAATAAAAGAAGTGCCTGGAATTTTATTTCAATCAGACCCAGTGCCCAAGGCTATTGCATCAATCAAGTAGTTCAATCGTTCTCAAATAACAGGGGCGGCAGGCGTCAATCCTCAACCCTCAGGCTGAGCCACGCCCCTGCAACAAATCCAACAAAATTCCTAAATTCCAAAATATGACCAACAAATGTAACAAATTCAACAAAATTCCTAAATTCCAAAATATCACTAACAAATGTAACAAATTCAACAAAATTCCAAAATTCCAAAATCTGACCAACAAATTTAACAAATTCAACAAAATTCCAAAATTCCAAAATCTGACGAACAAATTTAACGAATTCAACAGAACTCGTAAATTCCAAAATGTGACGAACAAATGTAACAAATTCAAGAAAATTCCTAAATTCCAAACTATGACCAACAAATGTAACAAATTCAACAAAATTCCTAAATTCCTAAATTCCAAAGTACGACCAACAAGTCATTCATCTACGCTAACCAGTACTTTCAACCCGAATAAAACTTCCCCGCTGCATCTGGACTGAAAAGAAGTGCCAAATTCACTCTTACGAGGATATGGCGGTTCTTAGGCCCGCCGAAACAGCCGTCCGGAGACTGCCAGTTGTGCTTCAAGGATATGGCGGCTTGCCGCCTCCTCTATTTTAGTGCTTCATCGTTATAATTTACAATGGCTATGGGCCTTGCTGCGCTACTCTCCAAATGTGCAAAATAAGAATGAATCGTCCGCCAGAACATGGAAAGATACACCGCCATATTTCTTTGTCCTTCGTACCTGTGGAGAGTAATGCAGCGACGCCCTATGCAATGTCTATTGCATGACGTGTATCTCTACTACAACCACTCTTTCAATCCTCGCAAATTTCTCTAATCCGGCAAAAGAAAAGAAGTCACTTTTAATCTATGCAACTAAACCACCAGTACTTGGCCCAGCTATTGATGCCGAGCCGGGATACCCCCTGCGCGCCAAGTTTTGCCGAGCCGTCAGGGCACCGTTTCATTTTGATTTTGGCTGGCGCTTAGCAAAGGCTCCCACGCGGCGGCACAACCGGTTGCCCCATGTTTTTGAATCAATTGAGCAAAAGTCCCTGCAGCCCGAACGAATTTGGCAAGCCCACTGGTTAAGTACCGCTTTCTCTGATGGAGACTCTAATCATTATTAGTATGCGCAACGTGCATCCCTGGACTGCGAATTCGGGGCTTTTCTTTTGCCAACGTATATTATATATGCTCACGTATATTAAGAGACATTGGTGATCGTTGCCCCCAAGTTGGGGGCAATGCAATTTAAGTAAGAAAAACGGACTACTTTCTTGACTTTAATTAACAGCAAAATAACAAGCCATTGCGGTTCGGTGCCCCGAAGCACTGTGACGCAACTACCGGCTCGCTAACGGGAATCGCCCGCGGCCGATAGCTGGGCCAAACACTGGTGGTTTAATCTATGCAATTAATCTATTTACCGATCATCATTATGGTCCACCAAATCATTCAATGCCATGTCATCATCATCTGTCGTCAACCCCTGCAAAATTGTGCAATTCCACTATGCCACCGGTTTTGCGGGGGTCTGTAGTCACGGACCCCAAATGCAAAGGTAAAGACCCCGCAAAACCCACCCACCTCTCCACGACTGGGAACAGAGTGCACTTCAAATCCATACACACCATTACCCAGCGATGCATCCCGAACAGCGCGCTAGAGGTGCCGTACGATTTCTTTCTAAGGCTTTGGGTGTTGGCCTCTACCGTAGTGTATATGGAATTAAAAAAAAAAACCTGAAAACCGCAGTAGTAAAAAAAGATGTTTGGGGGGGGCATAAACATTGCCCCCATATGGCCACCGGCTGAGGCGCACTTGAGTTGTAGATTGCAGGGCAATTGCTCCTGCTGCACCATCTTGCTGTTGG